CTTAGGGTCTCATTGGGGCGGGGAGTTAAGGGCTGGCTCCACCCCCATCCCATGCAAGCCCGCATGTCTCGTCACTGCTTGCCCAAACCTGACTGTCCAGTGGCCTCTGGAGGATGGCAGCCACCAAGCCGCAAAGGGAGAACAGGCCAAGGCACGAAACCTATTCCCACCTGGGGTGGCCCGGCGCTGGTAGCCTACTGCAGGGACCGGATGCATTTTTGCTCAAAGCCGCTGGGTTCCAAGATTTGTTTCTGACTCACTTGGGTCATGGCAGTTAAGCAGCTTGATCAAGAGCCAGAGATGCCATTCATGGGCAGCGATTCAGGATCTCGTTGAGGCGGGGAGGAAAGGACTGGCTCCACCCCCATCTTGTGAGGCCCCGCTTGTCTCAACACTGCAGTCCCAAACCTGACTGTCCAGTGTCCTCTGGAGAATGCAGTCACCAAGCCGCCAAGAGGGAGCAGGTGGAGGGACAGCACCCTTTCCCCCCTGGGGTGGTCCAGCGATGGTAACCTACTGCGGGTACCAGGCACATTTCTGCCAAAAGCCACTGGGTTCCAAGATTTGTTTCTGAGTCTCTGGGATGATGGTCGTTAAGCAGTTTGATCAGGAACCAGAGAGGCCTTGCCTCCAATTATATAGTTGAGCCAGAGGTGGTTTGTGGGTGTGTCTCACACAGATGCATTTCTGCCAAAAGCCGCTGGGTTCCGAGATTTGTTTCTGAGTCTCTTGGGTCATGGCAGTTAACTTTTAGCCCTTTACTTTCTTGGTAAACTTGGCCCCAAGTTGTTGAGGTCTGGCCCAAGGCACAGCAGCAATTTTGGGGTATATAGAAGTCTGAAGACACCATCAGGCCTTCTGATGCACTGGTGCTTTATTTTTTTAATTTAAAATGTTGTCAAGAAGGCAGGAGCACCACCTAGTAAAAAAGGTACTCTTGCCTTACCATTCCAATAGAAATACTGAATGCCCTGAACGAACACTATGACCTCTTAGTACCTGTATTTCAAACATAATGCACAAAAGGAAAGAGAGAGAGAGAGAGAGAGAGAGAGAGAGAGAGAGAAAGAGAGAGAGAGAGAGAGAGAGAGAGAGAGAGAGAGGAGGAAAGTGCCTCCCATAAAGGGAGGCTGAGGCAGGGGTGTGGTGGCAGGGAAATAGGGGACATTGGTGGTGGAAAATGTATACTGGTGGAGGGATGGGTGCTGAATAATTGCATGACTGAAACCCAATTCTGAACACTTTTTAATAGTCTAATCTCACGGACATTCAATGAAAAAAATTTTTTAAAAGTAGTGAGAAATTCATGCCCACTTAAATCAGCTTAATCAATGGCTGAATAAATAGCAGTACTTCTACATTTCAAATAAATAAATAAATAAAATGTTTACAGGACCATGCAGCTGGAAATTTTTTAATTTGGTTATTGTATTTCCCCACTCCCTCCCTAGAGAAAAAATAAAAAGGCAGGAGCAATAGTATAACAGATAGGGTGTTAGCCTCATATGTGATTGATCGGGGCTAAATCCTCAGTACCCCATATAGTCCAATGAGCCCCACCATAAGTAAGCACTGAACACAGTCAGGGGGGTCCAAAAGAGGCCCCCAACAATGTTTTTAGAAACTAGAATGATAGTACAGTAAGTAGAACTTTCCTTACATGGAGCTGATTTTGGTTCGATCCTGGCACTTTGTCTGGTGTCCTGAATCCCACCAAAAGTGATCCCTGAGCACAGAGCTGGGAGTAAACCCTTGGAATTACTAGGTGTGGCCCCACTCACCCCATCCACCCACCAAAAAAAATTATTTTATGGATCATGATTTACAATGCCATCAGCAATAGAATTTTAGACATATCATGTTCCAACTCTAATCCCACAACAAGTGTCAGACTCCCTCCACTAATGTCCTCAGGTACTCCCTCCATCCCCCAGATATCCTCCAGAAGTGACATATTTTTAAAATTATATATTGTAGTTTGGGTCCCATAATTATATTGACTCTAGTGATTTGATACAGATTCTTCACTTCAATATTACTGTCGTGTTCAAGCTTTCTGGTCTTTGCCCCTATTTTACCTCCAAGGGGGGATTTTTGCCTTATTCCCCCTCAACCACTTTTCTGTTTCCTTGGCCTTTCTACTTTGTATTCTAGGGTCAAGGGCTTGTCCACCTTTGATATCTTACATTCCCCTGACACATTATTCTACATAATCACAGATAAGTCAGTGTAACTGATATTTTTCCTTCTAAATTTACTTGGGATCTTCCAGTTCCGTAAGAGGTGCAACAAATTGCATGATTTTATTACCCTTGTAGCTATGTAGTATTCCATTGTGTGTGTGTGTGTGTGTGTGTGTGTGTGTGTGTGTGCGTATCTGCCATTAGACAACTGGGTTGATTCCATAATTACTAAGTGCTGCAATGGACAAAGTTGTGCATATGTATTTTAGAGTAAATGTGTTTGTACTTTAGAAGTTGAAGTGAAATCATTAGTTTGTATGGAAGATCTATTACTTTTTATGAGAAATCTCTGTACTATTTTTCTAGGGGCTAAACCAGATAACATTCAGACCAGCAGTGAGTGACAATTTCTATTTTGCCACATCCCCACCAACGTAGGTTGTGTCTAATATTTTTGATATGTGCCACTATCACTGGTGCGAGATAATGACTCATTGTTTTAATTTAGATTTCCCTTATAATAAATGCTGATAAGCACCTTTAAATATGCCTATTGGCCATCCTTCTGCCTTTTTTAGAGAAGTATCAACTTATTTCTGTCCCCATTTTTAGATGGGGTAATTGGATTTTCTGTTGTTGATTTTTGTGCATGCTTTTTATATGCTGAATATTAACCTTCTAGCTCACATATTGAGCCCAAATATTTTCTCCCATTTTTTAAAAATTTTAGCCACCATTTATATTGCCATGGAGAGACTTTTTTATTTGATATAATCATACTTATTTACTTTTGTTTCTGTGGTGTTTGCCAATGGAATCATACCATTGAAAACACCCTTGAGATCCAAAACTTAGAGAAAATTGCTTATATTTTTCTCATTGTATTTTATGGATTCTGGTTTAATTCCAAGATCTTTGATCCACTTTGAATAAGTTTTTTATAAAGTATGATACTTTGATCTAGTTTCATCTTTTTTTTGAATGTGGCTACTCAAATGGTATCTTAGAAAATATTTGCTATGCTTGCTATGCTTTATTTGTTTAATACTAAGTTTCAAAACATCAGTTGTGTATCTTATAAATGGAATATTGGATGATAAATTTGATACATTTGAAAATAAATTTTCTATCAATATTGTAGGCAATGGAGAACTGAGTTTTGTTGATTTCCCCCATTTTTATTAAGGTACTGTGATTTATAGTACTGTTAATGATAGTTTCATGTATACATTGTTCCAATACCACCCCTATAACAAGAGTGCTTGCTTCTTTCTACCAGTACGCTAAGGAATTTTGACATCCTCCCATTCACCTCCCTCCTTTCCGAAGTAAACTCAGTTCTCAGACCAGTTCTCAAGTTCTTATTGCCTTTGGCCATTAGTTATTCCCTTACTATGTTCTTTATATTGCACATGAGAGAGACCGTTCTGTATCTTTTCTTCTTCTTCAGACAGACTTCGTTCAGCATGCTCTCCAGTTTTAACCATGCAGAAACAAATTGTGTGATCTATTTTTTTCTTAGAGTCTAGTTTATTTTCCTATGTACATATTTTATGATTTTTTTATCTAGTGATCGGTTCTTAGGCACATAGGTTGTTTCAAGATTTGGGGTATTTAGAAGAGTGCTGAAATAAATATAAGAGCACAACCATCTTTTAAAATAGAATTTTGAGGGATTGGGGGAAAGATGCCAAAAGTGGAATTGCTGGGTCATATAGAAGCTCAATTCTTAGTTTTTTTTGACAAGTAACCACACTGCCTTCCAAAGATGTTAAACCAGTCATCAGTCCCACAAATAGTGGGAAAAGGTCACATTTCTCACACATCCACTCCAACACTGATTTCTTCTATTTCCTTTTGAAGTGATGTGTTTTCTTATTTTAGGGTGATCCAAAAAAAGGCATTTTTTTCTCATGTTTATTGATCATCGGTATGTCTTCTTTGAGGAAGTTTATTTTCATATTTTATTCTCATTTTTTGATGGATTGTTTTCATAGTTACCAAGTTTTTAAGTGCTTTATGTACCTTGGATATTAACCCTTTGTCAGATGAGTGGTGAGCAACTGATTTCTACCATGCCGTGGGAGTGTCTTGTTATTATTCTTCATTCATCATTTAATTTGCTGTGCAGAAGCTTTTCAATTTGATGTAACTGCTAATTTGTGTTATTTGTTTATTTCACTTATGTTTGTTTGGCTATTGAATCACTGAATTTACCTTTAGATTCAGTTTCATGAAAGGTTCTACGAATGTTTTCCTCAATGTAATTTGTAGATTCAGGTCAGAGATTGAGGTTTTTAATTGACATTTATGCATGGTATCAGATAGAACTATCAGTGCTCTCTTTTTCTCTTACTTCTTTTTTTCATATGACAAGTTTTCTAATACCATTTGTTAAATATGTTTTCCTTTTGCATGCTACTAGCCCTTTCAAGATTGTCTCTGGACTCTCAATTCTATTCCATTAGTCTTAGCACGTGTCTTTATTCCAGTACCAAACTTTCCTAATTACTATAGATTTATAGTAGAATTTAAAGTTGGGAAAACAAAAGCCTCCTGGCTTCTTTTTATTCTAGAATTATTTTGGATATCTGGGGGGTTTGGTATACTATATCAATTTTACAACATTTGGTCTGCTTTTTAAAAAACATAATAAAAAATAAATAATAAAGAAATAAATAAAAATAAATTTTAAAAAATCTCTGTTATGGAACCTAGGCTGACAGGAAAATTAAGATAATAGGCAATTATGCCTGGAGATATTTAGACCAGCTAGAGATCCTTATAAATTCCTGTCAACCAATAAGGAATGCAAGGAGTCATTTAGGTATTTTTATTTATTTATTTATTATTATTAGTGAGACACCATGCTAATCTTCTCTGTATTGTTCAAATTTTGGTATATGTGCTGGGCTGGAGCGATAGCACAGCGGGTAGGGCATTCGCCTTACAAGCGGCCAACATGGCCTACCCGAGTTCGATTCCTCCGCCCCTCTCGGAGAGCCCGGCAAGCTACCGAGAGTATTCTATATGCCGAACACAGTAACAATAAAGTCTCCAATGGAGACGTTACTGGGCCCGCTCGAGCAAATCGACGATCGACGGGAGGGCCTTTACCTTTTTTTTAGTGAGACACCAAGAGGTACAGTTGTAGACTTACAAACTTACATGTTTGGGTTTCAGTTATACAAAAATCGAGTACCCATTCCTCCACCAGTGCCCATTCTCCACCACAAATGAACCCAGTTGCCCTCCCACCCACCCCCAACACCCCACACCCCATCCCACCGCTATGGCAGGGCATTCCCTTTTGCTCTCTCTTTCATTGGGGGTGTTGTGGTTTGAAATAGAGGTATTGAATGGCCATAATGTTCTGTCTATAATCTACTTTCAGTACACATCTCACATCCCAAGCGAGTCCTCCAAACACCCTTTACTTGGTGTTCCCTTCTCTATCTGAGCAGCCTTTACCCCAGCACGTGGTGCCAGCTTCCAAACCATGGAGCAAACCTCCTGGTACTTATCTCAACTATTCTTGGGTGTTCATCTCCCATTCTGTTACTTTATATTCCCCATATGAGTGAAGTCTTTCTATGTCTGTCCCTCTCTTTCTGACTCATTTCACTTAGCATGATACTTTCCATGTAGAACCATTTGTATGTAAATTTCATGACTTCATCTATTCTAATAGCTGCATAGTATTCCATTGGGTAGATGTACCAAAGTTTCTTTAACCAGTCGTCTGTTCTTGGGCACTTGAGTTTTTTCCAGATTTTGGCTATTGTGAACAGTGCAGCAATGGACATAGAAGTACAGATGTCATTTCAACCGTACTTTTGCCTCTCCAGGATATATTCCCAGCAGTGGTATTGCTGGATCAAATGGGATCTCAATTTCTAATTTTTGAGAATCATCCAAACTGTTTTCCAAAAGGGTTGAACCAGTCAGCATATCCACGAGCAGTAAAAGAGGGTCCCTTTCTTGCCACATTCATGCCAACAGCAGTTACTTTTGTTCTTTTGGATGTGGGCCAGTCTCTGTGGTGTGAGATGATATCTCATTGTTATTTTGATCTGCATCTCCCTCATGATTTGTGATGTAGAACATTTCCTATGTGCCGTTTATCCATTCGGATTTCTTCTGTTCATTTTGTCACCCCATTTTTTGATTGGGTTGGATGTTTTCTTCTTGCGGAGTTCAACCACTGCTTTGTTTGTCCTTGATATCAACCCCTTATCCGATGGGTATTGGGTGAATATCCTTTCCCATTCTGTAGTCTGTCTTTGTATTTTGGTCACTGTATCTTTTTGGTGCAGAAGTTTCTTAGTTTAAGATAGTCCCATTTGTTTATCTCTGTTTCCACTTGGTTGGTCAGTGGCATGTCATCTTTGAAGATACTGTTAGCCTCAATATTGTGGAGGGTTTTGCCAACCTTGTCTTCAAGGTACCTTACGGATTCTGGTCTGATGTTGAGGTCTTTAATCCATTTTGATCTGACTTTTGTGCATAGTGTTAAGTCGAGGTCCTAGCCCATTTTTTTTGCATGTAGCTGTCCAGTTTTGCCAGCACCACTTGTTAAAAAGGCTTTCCTTGCTCCACTTCACATTTCTTGCTCCTTTGTCAAAGATTAGATGTTCATACATTTGGGGTTGTGTGTAGGCATATTCCACCCTGTTCCATTTTTTTCTGCGGTCCTGCCTTTGTTCCAGTACCATCTTGTTTTAATTGTTACAGCTTTGTAGTAGAGTTTGAGGTTGGGGAGGGTGATGTCTCCCATCATCTTTTTCCAAAGAATTGCTTTAGCTATTTGTGAACATTTGTTGTTCCAAATGAATTTTAGGAGTGCTTGATCCATTTCTTTGAAGAATTTCATGGATATCCCTATAGGGATCGCATTAAATCTGTATTGTGCCTTGGGGAGTATTGCCATTATGACAATGTTAATTCTGCCTATCCATGAGCAGGGGATATGTTTCCATTTCCTCATGTCCTCTTTTATTTTGTGGAGTAGCATTTGAAGTTTTCTTTTTAGGGGTCCTTTACATCCTTAGTTAGGCTGATTCTGAGGTACTTGATTTTCTGGGGCACGATTGTGAACGGGATTGCTTTTTTCATGTCTCTTTCTTCTGCCTCATTATTTGCCGATAGGAAGGCCATGAATTTTTGGGTATTGATTTTATAGCCTGCAACTTTACTGTACAAGTCTATTGTTTCTAGGACTTTTTTGGTAGAGGCTTTAGGATTCTCTAGATATAATATCATATCATCTGTGAATAGTGAGAGCTTGATTTCTTCCTTTCCTATCTGGATGCCCTTAATATCTTTTTCTTGCCTAACAGCTATTGCAAGTACTTCTAGTACTATATTGAACAGAAATGGCTAGAGTGGGCATCCTTGTCTTCTCCCTGATATTAGGGAGAATGCCCTTAGTTTTTCTACATTGAGGATAATGCTTGCCGTCGGTTTGTTGTAGATGGCTTTGACTATCTTGAGGATAATTCATTCTAAGCCCATTTTGGTGAGAGTTTTCATCAAAAACAGGTGTTGGATCTTGTCAAATGCTATCTCTGCATCTATTGATATGATCATATGGCTTTTATCTATACTTTTGTTGATATGATGGATTATGTTGATCGATTTCTGAATGTTAAGCCATCCTTGCATTTCTCGATGAATCCCACTTGGTTGTGGTATATGATCTTTTTGATGAATTGTTGAATTCTATTTGCTAATATTTTGTTGAGGATCTTCACATCCATATTCATCAGCGATATTAGCCTGTAATTTTCTTTGTTAGTGGTGCCTTTGTTTGCTTTTGGTATTAGGGAGATATGTGCCTAATAAAAACTGTTTTTAAGGGCACAGACAAGAGTCCAACTTAGTCCTATATTAAGTTCCCCCTAACTTGGGGGATTTCCTTTCTTCTACTTTTCATTAAACTTACCTACTTTCCAAAAACTCTGAATCTGAGCATCTGTATTAATAAGGAACCTGGGAGTCGTGAACAAACACAGAAACCTGAACTAGCACTTTACCTCATCTGCATAACAATCAGATCTCCCTATGCCTCCCTAATAAATTTCCTACCTTTGATATGAGAAAAATCTTGAAATTATAAACTGAACTATCATAGTAGCCCAGAAATTTACATAACTAGTACTTGCATAGATTTCTAGTACTATCTGGCTTGTGGCCACATATCCAAAATTTTTTGCTGGCTGTCATCAAAGTTTTTTTGGTTTTCAGAAGATTACTTAAAATAGAGTTTAGTATGTCTGAGGTTATTATTTGTTCTTTGTAAGCACAATAGTAAAATTCAAATACCACAGCCCTTAAAGTCATTACTTCCATAATGGGGAAGGTTAGCAGGCCCTTGGACTCTCAGGTCATGAACTAACTTCTCTCTTTATCATAGCCAATCTCAGATGATGGCAGAATTAGTTTCTCTGCATCTGTACATTGAAAATTAATAATATCCTATTTAACATTGTTCAAAAGCACAGAGAACAACTAAAGTAGCACCCAAATCCCAACTTGTGCCTATTTCTCTCAGAATCATAACACTTCTAGGATAAATCCTCTATCAATCTGGTAATAATGAGAATAAATAAATCCCATAATAATTTCAAAAGGATTTTATATAGCATTATTAATAATAACAGGGAATGATTGATTCGTGTGAAATAAAATAGAAATCACACAAATAGAATTAATACAAGGAAGACTCATATACTATCTCTAAAACTGATATTACCTAGCATGAGAATATCACCTCTAGGACTGAAAACAAACTTTATAGGAGAAAAGTTCATCCTGGGTCAGGAAACAGGGAAGTCTTTGGGGGCACCATGCTGAAAATTCTTCCTCTGAAACTTAAATAGTATGCTCTCCAGAGTTCTGGGAAAAACTATTATAGGGTAGCTTCTTTTTGAAGCACACAGTTACAAACAGCCAGAGAATATCAATACTAAAGGAAACCACTGATTCTTAGATTCTGCTGGCTATTCTACATTACAGAAGCTACAAGCATTGTAGAAACCAGAGGAAGAAAAGTTCGTAAAGAAAACCTATTTAGAAGTCCCACATTCATTTTCACTAAGAAAAACAAATAAGAGTGAAACTAGAGCTGAAGAACAATAGATCAACTACCAAATTAACAAGCTTTAAAAAAATCAGCGCACTTAGTGAGATATGTAATTGTACAGGCAGTACTTTGGCATGGCAGTGTTTGGAGACTAAACTGCTACACAAAGCAGTACATGATAGGTCATGCATTTTCTAAGAATTAAACTCAGGGCCTCAAATAGTGTTAGCAGATGCTCTACCACTTGAGCTATCTCTCCAGTCAAAAATAACAGACTTTTGATATGTGTAACAGTATGTATAAAGCTCAAAATGTTGTGTTAAGTGAAAGAAATGAAGTAATAGACTGCTTAATTTACAATTTTGAAACCCAGCAAAAAGCGGTCTGGGCCCATTAGTACTAAGTGAGCATGAAATTTCACTCACAAAGATAAGTCCATGCCCTTTGCCAGCAGGAAGTAATTATAGATGGACCTTTACCCATGTACAACTTACTAATGTAAGAAGTTGATATATCTAGGAAGAAAACATTGCAGACAGAATGACATGAGGGTAGATTGAGGGTGGGGATGGTAATGATTTGAGGGAAAATAACAAAATTTCCCCTTGTCCTCAATTAGCCCAGAAGCATGAGTACCACATCCTTTTGGGATGCAAATATTAGCTCTTTTGAAGATTGAGAAAAAAAGCTATAGCCTTATACAGAAACTGAGACAACACTGAGTGAAAGACAGAAACTAAGAAGCTCTAAGAAAATCTAAAGTGATGAGAATATGAAATGACCTTTAAACATGGTGTTAGAAAGGGGTTTGAGTTCATCTTTTCACATTTGACACACCAGTTTT